GGGGATGGTTGGTGATGAGCTGAGGACGTGGGGATGGTGGGTGACGAGCTGAGGACGTGGGGATGGTGGGTGACGAGCTGAGGACGTGGGGATGGTAGGTGATGAGCTGAGGACATGGGGATGGTGGGTGATGAGCTGAGGACATGGGGATGGTGGGTGATGAGCTGAGGACACGGGGATGGTGGGTGACGAGCTGGATCTGAGCAGCAGACGGACCTGGGCTGATGCAGCAGGTGCTGGTGTGAACGGGCACTGCATCATGTCAGCCGCAGCAGCAGGGGGTGCTCAGCACCGCGCTCCCCAGGTACCTCCAGCCTGCCCGTGCCCGCCCCGCCAGCATCACTGCGCAGTGCCACCCTGTGGCAAGCGCCCTCCGCGTCTCCGGAGGGGGTGATGCCCCCAGACCCCTCCCTAGCACTCCATGTCCATGGCACCGGCAGCCCTGACAACACCCCTAGCCCCGGTTCCCTCTCCCCTGCTGCAACGTTTGAACCCCAGCACAGCACAAAACATCTCCTCTCAGCCCAGTGCTGCCACTGGAGCTCTTCCCCGTCACCAGTGCTTTGTCCAGGTATCGCCAGGGCTCCAGCAACAGCAGCCAAAAGTGGGTTCCTCTAGCCCTACCCCCGGGAGCCCCACTCCCACCTCCAGCCGCCCTCTGGTTCCCTGGAACCCCGCATTAATGCCCCAGACACACTAATAATCAGGTTTATTATTAAATACAAGGCATGGACATGTCATTATCGGATAATCATTTCTCAGGAACAGGATTCCCATTCCAGTGTGATGTCTCAAGCACTTTTCCCAGTGCAGGGGTCAGTGTCATTGCACCCCGGGTGTGGGTGGGGAAACTGAGGCACGGGATGGGGAGTGCACTGGCAGCAGGCAGTGGCACCATGTAACCCAGAGAAAGCAGTGGGATTCCATCGGCCCCTCTGCACCAGCCTGATCACCCTTCCCAGCCCCAAGCAGTTCTCATTTGTCCCCCTGCAGTGTTCTGGCTGACCCCAAGCTGTCTCGGTGTCACTGCTGGCCAGGCATGTCCTACCTGATGCTCAACCATGCGGCAGGAACCTCTCTTTGGGAGCATGGGAACGGTGTGCCACCCATGGACAATGGTGAGGGACATCATGCTCCTGCTCTTGCTCCTGGTCAGTTTGGGGTGCCCATGAGAGCACTGTGGCCCTCAGGGCACATTCCTGAATGACAGGGCCGAGAGCAGCACCCACGGGGCCTGCAACTGTGTCAGGAGGGCAAAGGTGGACATGAAGGTGCAGGCACTGTGTTGGGATGTTAACCCAGTGTTAACCCTCAGGAGCTGGATATGGAAACAAGAAAACATCCCTCTGACAAGGAACAGGGAGGAGAGCAGAATGGGATCCCAAATCTGCCCCTTATACAGTCCAGACCTTTGGTTTAGCTCCCTGCCCCACACCTTGCTGCCTGTCCCTGGATCCTCAGGGCAGGAGGGATGACTGTGATGCTGGGAGGGTGGCCAGGATCCCGGGGAGCTCAGGGAGGGAGGTGAGGGAGGACAAGGCTGGGACTGCCTGTGGGATGAGCTGGTGTCCCTTCCCATCACCATGGAGGTGAGCACTGGCTGGCGGAGGGGATGGTGAGCACACGGGGTCAGGATCACTCTCTCCATCCTCTGGTTTCACAGTCCTTGTTGCCCAGTAGCTAGAGGCTCTGATAGAGCTTCACATCCATGAGTTTCTGCTCCTGATGATCCTGAGAACCTGGGCACCTCAAAAAGCCCTGCAGCCTGGCAGCCCTGCTCTGCTGCTGCACAAAGGCTGTCCCTGGGCTCCAGGTGCTTGGGTGCCACGGTCACAGCCCCCAGCAGATGGGATGGAGGGAAGGGACCGGCACGGCCCCCTCACTCCCTGCACCACTGTCACAGTGTGCAAGAGGAGCGACCGCCCTCTGACACTGGAGGAACCCACTGGTAGGGTTTGACCTGCCATATTTTAACCAGAAGAGCCATAAAACACCAGCAGTGACACTGTGAGTGCTCAAAGGTCTGAAGAAAGGTCTGAAAGTCCATTCAGTGCCTGTCCAGAGGAGACAGCTTCACCTGAAGCTGCTTCTGGGCTTTCTCCAGGGATTTTTCGAGACAGGTTCCAGCCCCAGCTCTGTCCCAGCATCAGTGAGGCCCCTCTAGTATCCAAGTTGATCCCATCCCTGCTACGAGTCCCTCTTGACCAGCAGTAGCCAAGGGAGCACGGCCGCCAGCATGGCCACGGTCAGGATGAGGAGGACAGCGAGGGCAATGGGTGACTGGCAGCATTTCACCCCCAGGGCCGAGCTGGATGACACCGATCTCCATGTTTCCACCCTGCTTCTCCTCCCCAGGGAGCTGCAGTCCACGTCCACTAGTGGCATCCCATGGTCGCTGATGACAAAGATGTGGGCTTCCCGCGCCAGCTCTCCCGGGCCCCCTTGCACACCCATGGTGCTGTTCCCTGTGCTGCCACACGGGTCAAAGCTCTGCACTGGCATCACAAAATGACTGGGCACCACCAAGGTGTTGCTGGCCTCTGTTTTGGTCAGATGTGACAAAGAGGAAGATGACAGAGGCATCTCTAGTGTCCGGGCATTGGTGCCTGCTTTGGGTGGCCACTGAGCTTTCTTCTTGCTGAGGAAGGTGACGTAGCGGCAGACGGGGCAGATGATGCTGCTCTGTAGCTGGCCATCAAGCTTGGCACAGAGCAGGCACTTCACCAGGCAGTCGTGGCAGAAGGTGTGCCCGCAGCTCAGCCTGCGGTGCGTGGCCTCCTGCACCTGGAACTTCTCGTAGCACACGGGGCACTCGACCGGGGGACCCTCCTTGCTGGACGAGCTCTCAGACATCCCTGCGCCTGCCACAGGCACTCCCTGGCTGCGAGGAAGAGGCGCGATGGGTTAATAAGGGTCTATGTTGCAATGACCATCATGATCAGTATCTGAAGGGGGCTACAAGAATGCTCTTCATCAGGGACTGTAACAATAGGACAAGGGGTGATGGGTTCAAACAAGAGAGATTTAGGTTGGAGATAAGGCAGAAGCTCTTCCCTGTGAGTGTGCTGAGGCGCTGGCACAGGGTGCCCAGAGAAGCTGTGGCTGCCCCATCCCTGAAAGTGTTCAAGGCCAGGTTGGACACGGGGCTTGGAGCAACCTGCTCTAGTGGAAGGTGTCCCTGTCCATGGCAGGGGGTTGGAACTGGAGGAGCTTTAAGGTCCCTTCCAAGCCAAACTATTCTATGATTCTATGGTCCATCTCCTCCCTGCTCTCTTGCCTTTGCCCTCTGGCCTCTAAAAGTTGCAGTGGATGGCTACCAGGCATGGTCTCAGCAAGGCAGAGCATTCTTAGGACAGTGAAGCCCCTTAGTGTGACCCTTGGGGCAAGAGAGAGATGATGGGAGGACCTCAGCTCCAGAGCCACTGGGAGCAATAATCCCTGGCTGCAATATCATATAGAGAAAGGCATAAGCCCCTGGAAGGAGCCGTGTCTACCTGTGCCTGGTACAGATAAACCAGGTTCAGCTGGTGCCACGAGTGACCTTGTGCAGAGGGTGGGAACTCCCATCCCACAGAGAAACCTGCCGAGGAAAGGGAGATGCTCCCATCCCAGAGGATGCAGAAAAGAGCAGAGGGAGGCCAGGCCAGTGGGACAGGAGGGAGCATCCCATGGGGACGGAGGGGCAGGCAGCAAGCACTCGCGCCAGGCTCGTG